GGTTGGGAATCACTGCGTCTGTGCTATGTGTGGGGGTGTGTGTGGGGTTGTGGGTGTGTGTGTGGGGTCTCTACGCTCGGGGCCAACACCTACTCTTGTTGGGATAAATGTTTCATGTCACCCAGAAGGTCGAGGAGATGTGCCAGACTCCAAAGACACACACACACACACACACACACACACACACACACACACACACACACACACACACACACACACACACACACACACACACACACACACACACACACACACGCACAAACCTGCAGAAACGTTGCCCTTGTTGACTTCAGGAAGGCTTTTGACCTTGTTGATCACTGCACTCTTATCAACAAGGCCATTGCACTAGGGCTGCCCACCAACCTGGTCTCATGGTTCACTGATTTCCTGAGGGAGCTTCGTCAGGCAGTCAGGTATCAGGGTTCTGTCTCCACATTCCAACACCTCACCTGCGGTGTTCCCCAGGGGACCAAGGTGGGACCACTGTGCTTCCTAATCCTGATCAACGACGCTCTATTGGACACTCCTCACAGGTGGAAGCACATGGAAGACTGCACTATGGGGGTTACAGTGGACAACACCTCACTGGACTACTCATCGCTACAAGGTACCCTGGATAGGCTACAGGCATGGACTACTGAGAACAAGGTCACCATCAACCACACCAAAACCATAGTCATGCACATCAATACCGCCACCACTCCAGTGCAAGCTCCAGCAGTCACAGCGGGTGCCCATCCTCTCCAGTTCGTGCAGTCTGCCAAACTCCTGGGTGTTACCATAGACTACAAACTGGACTGGAAGGCCCATGAATACAACACAATCAAGGCAGCCTCGTACCGACTCTACATGCTACGACGACTCAGGTCACTTGGGGCACCCACGCCAGAGATGAGGACTATCTGCAACGCTTTTATTCTCCCCAAACTAACGTATGTGTCACCAGCCTGGTCGTCTTCTCTCAACTCTACCCAACAATGTCAGCTAGAGAAGGTACAGAAAAGAGCCTGCAGAATCATGCTCGACGCAGACTACTCCGGCTACAACAACGCTCTCTCCACCCTGGAAATGCCATCCCTCAGGGACCTCCACCACCAAGCACTAGCAAGGTTTGGCAGTGGACTACTGCACCATCCCCGTCATCCCCACCTCCTGCCACCGGCAGTCCACCGCCCACCTCGCGCAGTCCGCCACTACAACAAAATTCAGCCCATGAGAGCCCGCACTGATAGACATAAGAATAGCACCATCCCATCTATTGTTAGAATAATAAACAACTCATGATTTATCTACGGTACAGCCCTGTAAATGTATTGAACGTATGTCTAAATCACATTTTAGCCACCGGCTGCAACTCTATAAATGAACTACACACACACACACACACACACACACACACACACACACACACACACACACACACACACAACACACAAACACACACACACACACACACACACACACCACACACACACACACACACACACACACACACACACACACACACACACACACACACACACACACACACACACACACACACACACACACACACACATCCCAGTCTAACCATCATAAAAATCATCATAACGTAATCAACAGTGTGTTCACTCCCAGTCATTACAATTTTTGCACTGTCACTATGTTGAAATGCCCTGTAGTATGACCTTCTCCCACTAGTTACTATATATCATATTTGTATCACTTAGTTACTTGTAATTATTGGTCAATCAAGAGACACCATTCCCCATTATGTAACTCTATATTTTCAGTCTTCCGGCTGTCATGCTCTTTCAATAAACCGTTAATATTTATATTATACATATTATCACACACACACACACACACACACACACACACACACACACACACACACACACACACACACACACACTCACACACTCACACACACACACACACACACACACACACCGCCGGGAACTGAGAGATCCCAACATATTGATTCTATTTTACTTTCTTTCTTTGCTGATTGGTGAGGAAAATCAATTCTGACAAAATGGAGGGGTGTACTGTTTGTTTATCAGCGATGTGTATTACACTCTCAATTGACTCTGTGTGTGTGTGTGTGTGTGTGTGTGTGTGTGTGTGTGATAATAATATAATACAAACAATACTAATATTTATTGAAAGAGCATGACAGCCGGAAGACTGAAAATATAGAGTTACATAATGGAATGGGCTCTTGATTGACCAATAATATACAAGTAACTTAAGTGATAAATATGATATGTAATAACTAGGTGGGAGAAGGTCATACACAGGCATTTCAACATAGTGACAGTAAAAGGTAATATTGACTGGAGGAATACACTGTTGATTACAAGTTATTGATGATTTTATGATGGTTGGGACTGGGATGTGTGTGTGTGTGTGTGTGTGTGTGTGTGTGTGTGTTGGAGCCACCATTCTGAAATCCATGGTGAGCCGCCTGCATGGATCAGCCCCACAAAACCTGAGCATGAATCACCTCATCACCACACCCGAGCATGGATCACGTCATCACCACACTCAAAGCATGGATCAGCTCTCCACCCACACCGAGCATGGATCAGCCCCACCACACCGGAGAATGATCAACTTTCCATCACACCAAGCATGATCACCTCATCACACACCGGCATGACCATCACCACACCGAGCATGGATCACTCATCACTACTTCCGAGCATGGATTACCTCATCACCACGCCAAAGCATGATCAGCTCTCCACCACACCGAGGCACGGATCATCCTCCACCACACCCAGCATGATCAGCCTCCACTACACCTGAGCATGGATCGTCTCCACCACACCCGGAGCATGGATCAGCTCACCACTACACTGGAGCGCAGATCAGCTACCACCACATCGGTGCACGGATCACCTTCCCACCACCCACACCCAGAGCATGGATCAGTCCCCACCACACTTGAGCATGGATCACCCCCACCTACACCCGGAGCATGGATCACCCACACACCCAGAGCATGGATCACCCTCCACCACACCCGAGAGCAGGATCACCTGCCCCACCCCCTGAGCATGGATCAGCCTCCACACCGGAGCATGGATCACCTCCCCACACACCCGGAGCATGGATCACCTCACCACACCCCGAACATGGATCACTCTCCCACCACACCCGGAGCATGGATCACCTCCCCACCACACCCGAGCATGGATCACCATCACACACCCGGAGCGTGGATCACCTCACCACACCTGAGCATGGATCACGTCATCACCACACTCAAAGCATGGATCAGCTTCCACCACACCCGAGCATGGATCCTTCCACCACACCGGAGCATGGATCACCTCATCACTACTTCCGGAGCATGATTACCTCATCACCACACTCAAAGCATGGATCAGCTCTCCACCACACTTCGAGCATGGATCAGCCCCCACCACACCCGGAGATTGGATCAGCTTTCCACCACACCCGGAGCATGGATCACCTCATCACCACACCAGAGCATGGATCACCTCATCACTACTTCCTGAGCATGGATTACCTCAAGACCACACTCCAAAGCATGGATCAGCTTCACCACACCTCGAGGCACGGATCATCCCTCCACCACACCCAGAGCATGGATCAGCCCTCCACTACACCTGGAGCATGGATCGGCTCTCCACCACACCGGAGCAAAGATCAGCTACCCACCACACTCGGTGCACGGATCACCTTCCCACCACCACTTGGAGCATGGATCAGTCCCCACCACACTTGAGCATGGATCACCTCCCACCACACCCGAGTATGGATCACCTCACACACACCCGGAGCATGGATCACCTCCACCACACCCGAGCATGGATCACATTCCCGCCACCTGAGCATGGATCAGCTCTCCACTACTGGAGCATGGATCACCCCCACCACACCCGGAGCATGGATCACCCCACCACACCCGGAACATGGATCACCTCCCCCACCACACCCGGAGCATGGATCACCTCCCACCACACCCACAGCATGGATCACCTTCACCACACCCGGGACATGGATCACCTCCTCACCACACCCGGAGCATGGATCACGTCACCACACTCAAAGCATGGATCAGCTCTCCACCACACCGGAGCATGGATCATCCCTCCACCACACCCGAGCATGGATCACCTCATCACTACTTCCGGAGCATGGATCACCTCATCACACCAAGCATGGATCAGGCTCTCCACCACACCCGAGCATGAATCAGCCTCCACCACACCCGGAGAATGGATCAGCTTTCACCACACCCAGAGCATGGATCACCCACTCACCACACCCGAGCATGGATCACCTCATCACCACACCCGAGCATGGACGTCCCCATCACTTCCTGAGCATGCATTACCTCATCACCACACCCAAAGCATGGATCAGCTCTCCACCACACCCGAGGCGGATCATCCCTCCACCACACCAGAGCATGGATCCGTCCCAGCACTTTGGAGCATGGATCACCTCCCCACTACACCCAGAGCATGAATCACCTCATCAACACACCCGGAGCATGGATCACCTCCCACCACACCCGAGCATGGATCACCTCCCGCCACCCCTGAGCATGGATCAGCCTCCAACCACCGGAGCATGGATCACCCCACCACACCGAGCATGGATCACCCCCACCACACGGAACATGGATCACCTCCCCACCACACCCGGAACATGATTCTTCCCACCACACCTGAGCATGGATCACCTTCCCACCACACCGGAACATGGATCACCTCCCCACCACACCCGGAGCATGGATCACTCTCCACACCCGAGCATGGATCACCTTCCCACCACACCGGAGCATGGATCACCTTTCCACCACACCCGGAGCATGGATCACCTTCCCACCACACCCGAGCATGGATCACCTTCCCACCACACCGGAGCATGGATCACCTTCCCCACCACACCCGGAACATGATCACTCCCCACCACACACCCAGCGGCATGGACACCTCCCACCACACCCGGAGTGGATCACCTTCCCACCACACCGGAGCATGGATCACCTTCCCACCACACCCGAACATGGATCACTTCCCACCACACCCGAGCATGGATCACTTCCCACCACACCCGGAGCATGGATCACCTTCCACCACACCCGAGCATGGATCACCTTCCACCACACCCGGAGCATGGATCACCTTCCCACCACCACACCCGGAGCATGGATCACCTTCCCACCACACCCGGAGCATGGATCACCTCCCACCACACCTGAGACTTCCCACCCGAGCATGGATCACCTTCCCACCACACCCGGAGCATGGATCACCTTCCCACCACACCCAGAACATGGATCACTTCCCGAGCATGGATCACCCCCACCACACCCGGACATGGATCACCTTCCCACCACACCCGGAGCAAGGATCACCTCCCACCACACCTCGGAGCATGGATCACCATTATCAAGCTTCAAGAACTGCTTCATGATAGTCGTAACTCGCTCTGCCTGCACGTATAGTATTTTACTTATTGAGCGCCAAGTCTCGCCTTTCCTTTATCTCTCCTTCCGCCCACTCCACATACCTCCCAATTGCCAGACCAACCAATACAAACACTTTCTAAATTGACTCCAGAACAAAGGAATTGATAAATGTGCACAGAAGACAGAGTGAATGTTGTCTAGAAGTTGTTTTTAAATTTATTCCGAGCAGAGAGGGACACAGAGGCCACTACACGACACATCTACCACCACAGGCCACTATACAACACATCTACCACACGCAGAGGCCACTAAACGACACACTACCACCACAGGCCACCACACGACACACCACCACCACACACACAGACACCCTCTACCACCACAGAGGCCACTACACGACACACTACCACCACAGGCCACCACACGACACACCACCACCACAGGCCACTACACGACACCCCACCACAACCCAGAGGCCACTAAACGACACACTACCACCACAGGCCACTTCACGACACACCCTCCACCACAGGCCACTACACGACACTGTACCACCACAGAGGCCAACACGACACACCACCACCACAGAGGCCACTACACAACACCCACCACCACAGGCCACCACACGACACCCCTACCCCCACAGAGGCCACCACACGACACACTCCACCACAGAGGCCACTACACAACACTTCACACCACAGAGGCCACCACACGACACCTCTACCACCACAGAGGCCACTACACCACACACCACCACCACAGGCCACTACACGACACCCCTCTACCACCACAGAGGTCACTACACGACACACTACCACCACAGAGGGCCACACAACACACCACACCACAGAGGCCACCACACGACACACTACCACCACAGAGGCCACTACACGACACATCTAACCACCACAGGCCACTATACAACACATCTACCACACCGCAGAGGCCACTAAACGACACACTACCACCACACCACCACACGACACACTGCCACCACAGAGGCCACTACACGACACACTACCACAGGCACACACTACCACCACAGGCCACTACACGACACCTCTACCACACCGCAGAGGCCACTAAACGACACACTACCACCACAGGCCACTTCACGACACACCACCACAGGCCACTACACGACACTTTGCCACCACAAGGCCACTACACGACACACTACCACCACAGAGGCCACTACACAACACCCACCACCACAGGCCACCACACGACACCCCACCCCACAGAGGCCACCACACGACACACTACCACCACAGAGGCCACTACACAACACCTCTACCACAGAGGCCACTACACGACACCTCTACCACCACAGAGGCCACTACACGACACACTACCACCACAGGCCACTACACGACACCTCTACCACCACAGAGGTCACTACACGACACACACCACCACAGAGCCACACACAACACACACACCACAGACACACACACACACACTACCACCACAGAGGGCCACCACACACTACACCACAGAGGCCACTACACGACACACTACCACCACAGAGGCCACTACACATCACACTACCACCACAGAGGCCACTACACGACACCCACCACCACAGAGGGCCACTGACACACTACCACCACAGAGGCCACTACACGACACCTCTACCACCACAGAGGCCACTACACGACACCTCTACCACCACAGAGGCCACTACACAACACACTACCACCACAGAGGCCACTACACGACACACCACCACCACAGAGGCCACCACACGACACCACTACCACCACAGAGGCTACTACACGACACACCACCACAGAGGCCACACACGACACCTTACCACCACAGAGGCCACTACACAACACACTACCACCACAGAGGCCACTACACGACACCTCTACCACCACAGAGGCCACTACATGACACTTCCACCACCACAGAGGCCACTACACGACACACTACCACCACAGAGGTCACTACACGACACCCTACCACCACAGAGGCCACACATGACACTTCCACCACCACAGAGGCCACCACACGACACCTCTACCACCACAGAGGCCACTATATGACACTTCCACCACCACACAGGCCACTACGACACACTACCACCACAGAGGTCACTACACGACACCTCTACACCACAGAGGCCACTACATGACACTTCCAACACCACAGAGGCTACACACGACACACTAACACCACAGAGGCCACTACATGACACTTCCACCACCACAGAGGCCACTACACGACACACCACCACAGAGGTCACACACGACACCTCTACACCACAGAGGCCACTACACAACACACTACCACCACAGAGGGCCACTACACGACACCTCTACCACCACAGAGGCCACTACATGACACTCCACCACCACAGAGGCCACTACACGACACACTACCACCACAGACGACGACACCTCTACCACCACAGAGGCCACTACACGACACACTACCACCACAGAGCCACTACACACACACTACCACCACAGGCCAGGCCACACACGACACCTCTACCACCACAGAGGCCACTACACGACACCTCTACCACCACAGAGGCCACTACACGACACACTACCACCACAGAGGCTACTACATGACACCTTACCACCACAGAGGCCACTACATGACACCTCCACCACCACAGAGGCCACTACACAACACACTACCACCACAGAGGCCACTACACAACACACTACCACCACAGAGGCCACTACACAACACACTACCACCACAGTGGCCACTACACGACACCTCTACCACCACAGAGGCCACTACACAACACACTACCACCACAGAGGCCACTACACGACACACTACCACCATAGAGGCCACTACACTACCTTCACCTCAAAAAATATCGAGAACCTTTTAGGGATAACTAGATAACTTTACTGGTACAGTCCCCTTCACTAGTGCGTTTACAGGGGCTCCTCAGGTTTTGTGCAGTGTGGCAGTCCTGTGTTTGTTTACATTCGACAGAAGAACACTCGCAATAGTAAACATACTATTGAATCAAATTAAAACAATATTAAAACAAATATACCAAGGATAATGATTTGTGGAATGTTTTTATGACGAGCCCCTGTAAACGCACTAGTGAGGGGGACTGTACATATGATATAAACAAAGTGTAATGATATATAAAACCAAATTTAATAAAGTTTTACACTGTAAATAATTCCAGGTTTTAACACAACCGCCATCTTACAAGTTATAGGAGCAGTAAGATAAACACGGCATGATAACACGGTCAACTTTATGGTGTGTTATACCATGAGTTCTCGGTGACCTTTACTTCATGATCTTTACTTGTGTGTGTGTGTGTGTGTGTGTGTGTGTGTGTGTGTGTGTGTGTGTAACTAAATCTTCGTATCAATTTTAGTTAACACAGGAACAAAGGCCACCGTTCCCCCACCTATTCCTCAGACAGCTTCATGCTGACACACACACACCACCACTTGTCTTCATTATGGATATTGGCAAGTGCTCTGCCTTCATGTTTCTTATACAGAATAGATTGGTATCTTCCTTGTCGCCCCTCGCCTGCCTAATAAAACTTGACCTCCGTTGCGGGCGATAGGGGTGGTGGGTTAAGGGCGATGGGAGTGGTGGGTTAAGGGCGATGGGGTGGTGGGTTAGGACAAGGCCACCTTCTAGGTTGCCTTGGTTAGGGGTGGTGGGAGAGGTGAAGTTAGTAATAGTGAAACAGTTTATTTAGCCAGGAAAATACAGATACAGAGTGGACAATAGGTATCTTTAAGGGTACTTGGAAAAAATGGCAGTGGAAAAAATGGCACAGGGAAATATGACACAGGAAAAATTGGCACAATTTTTATACTAGGAAAAATGGCACAACAAATTTCACTTCGAGCTCACGAACCACAAACGAGCAAACGAGCTAACGAGCCTGTGTTTGAAGCGAGGGCAGGACAAAAGCCCCCTAGGACAAAATGGTAGCAGGAGAAAACGGCCCCACCATGTGACCAAAACTGCCTAACTCTAACCTAACCTAACCTAACCTAACCTAGCCAAAACTGAGCATGATAGCAGCCATATTGACAGTCTGAGTTGGCTTGGTAACTAACCAGAAGTGGCAACTGGTTGTTTGGTCCAATGTTTACATCGTTTACATTTGACAGTTGCCACTTTTGGTTATTTACCCAGCCAGCGTTTCACTCTGACCCGCTTCCGTTCGTCAGTTAATCATAGCAGCTCAGACTGTCAGCATGGCTGCTATCATGCTCAGTTTTGGTTAGGTTAGGTTAGAGTTAGGCAGTTTTGGTCACACCGTGGGGCCGTTCTGGCTTAGGCCGTTTTCGATTGGGGCCATTTTGTCTCGAAACCGACAAAAGCCCCCTAGGACAAAAGTCCCTCAGGAGAAATAATAAGAATTTTTAAAATAATAATTTAATTTTTTTACAGTTTATGAACACTTCTCTAACCTAACTTAACCTAACTTAACCTAACCTAACCTTCGAGAATTCTGTTTTAGTTATAAAGAAGTATACAAGGAATGTTTATTAAATCTGCAATGACATATGTTTTGTCTACTGGGGTAATTACTCCCCTGACATTCAGTGACCTCACTGGGCCCTAGGGTCACCTCAGTAAATACAGAATGAACATGAAGGTAAAATATGTCGGTTTTTCTTTTCTATTTATTTAATAATGTTCTATGTCAAAATTGAAAGAGTTATAATATTCTAATTATTTAAATTGTAATAATTTCATATTTAAATCTATATATTTTTAATATTTCTAATGACCCTCTCTTTAACATAAAAACAGGGGGCTTCTGTCCTATTTTGCACTTTTACTGAGGGGCTTTTGTACTAGGGGGGCTTTTGTCCGGGCCCAATTTGGAGCTATCCAGCGTATTCGAGTTAATGATGATGTTTGGTAACTTGCTATATCGCCTTTGCTTAGCCCTGACTTCCCTTTATACATCTCGATCATATCTCGTGTTTTAGTTTGATACATTTGATAGAATTCCTTGGGGTTAGCCTTCGCCTCCCTTGC